ATTTGTAATCCTCATATCTACACCCAATCATATTCGTCCTGTACATCACTATCACTCTCTTCACTAGTAGTACAGACCACTTGCATTGTAACTGCCATCGTGCATGCTGCTAGTTTTCTCACCTCCCACCCACCCACCAAAGAAAAAAAAAAAAAAAAAAAGTTACATATATATTGTTGGTACCCAGCGTGTACTCTGTAAAATATGCATTTATTTCTTTATCAATAAAGTACAGGGGGTTGTCACTGCAGCGGCCTCAGCCTTGCTTGGGTATTTTACTGCGGTGCTCTTGCCACAGTGCGAGTCTACATTGTGACTCGTACTGTGACAACAGCCCCCTCAACGCCCACTGGCAGGGTTGCTGTAGAGACCGTTCACACTCAGGTACCACGTTGTCCATGTCATGGTGCAACTCAAATCTGCGAGTTGCATCATGGGGTCGGCCGCTACGACGCCTGCACGTGAGGGCGAATACCCCCCCACTTATTTACTGGCAATATCGTGTGTTCACTGTGTGTTCATTTCCCATACCTTGTCCCTCATACAGCCCTGATGCGTTAATACATTGCTAGCATACTTAACATATAGCACCAGCCTCTAAACTAAGAAATAACAGCATTTTTTTACATACCACAGCATTTTTATCAATACTCCCAACTACATATATTCCTTTGGTATTGATGGCTTCAGCTTGACTAAGAGATGATGTTTCAACCGATCCATGAGACTCCTTGACTCCTTTCAACCAATCTAGATGATGACTTACGCCCCTCTACAAAATGATAATTATTAGTATTTGATATAGGTCGAATTTGCATTTTATTTGTACTATTTGATCTTCAACGTCTGAATTTTCCAAAAAACAGGCAGATACCATCCTAGTGGATGTGTTCAGAAACATTTCAGGTACAAGTATCACTAAGAACTCTAAATTGTTATAATTTTTAACCACACAATAGTGTATAATTCGTCTGTAATATCAGCCAGTGAGGTTGTGATTTTCTCTGTGTTAATTATAGTTCTTAGATAGGGTCTTAAACGCCTGCAATTGGTAAACATAATTTTAAATCTGGCAGTTGTCGATTTACTAATTCAAGAGAAACAAATTGGTTTAACTGGGAAAAGTTGGAGAATTGGGTGGCGACTTAATATACATTAATACTCAAGATTATCTTTTGTTAGTTTGTTTCCTGAGTATGTAGTTACTTTATTCATATAATAAAAAAAGACTCAAAGAACCTAACAAGTGACAAAAAGGGAATATGAGAGAGCTGAAACTGCGAGAGAAAAGAAGCTAAAATTGAGCAAGAACTTGAGAAATATCGACGAACAAGCTATTATCAAAGACAGTTTAGAAAGATCTCCTTTGTAATGAGAGTATTAAAAAAATGAATTAGCCTTCCAAACAAGAAGCTTGACTACTAATATTTGTCTGCTATTTGAGATGTACAATGTGAAAACAATGTGATTCACATTATTGAAGTTTATAATACTTTTAATACTTTATAATACTTTTCAGTCTAATTTATTCCAGAGCACCACAAGTTCAATTTAAATCTGATTTTTTGAGATATCACAACTGTGGATTACCACAGAGTATCTATGAACCAAATTTCAATGAAATGTGATGATTCAGCAATTAGTACAGTGTATGCTTGAATTTCAATCCAAAACTAATGCACTATACCACTATAAAATGCAATAATTGTTTTTGTTTTTTTAAATAGTAATTATTATGCAAGTGAAGCAAGTATTAGGCATAGATTTCAACCCCAAACTATTTAGGTTTGTGTACTGTTCCAGGGCACATACATACCATGTTTCATATACAATGTGCTGATTAAAGTAAATTATTATGCAAATTAGGTAATTAATATCGATGTATACAAATCCAAAACTAATTACATTGTTGCAATGTCTAATAGTAGCATGATTCATTGAAATAAGATGATAAGTAAATTATTATGCCAACCAGGTAATTAATATGCACAGATTTCAAGATCTGTGCAGTGTCATTGAAATGTGATTAGAACTTATTTAAGTTAATTAGCTGAAAAATTATGAATTTTTACGCTAATTAGGTATACACACACACACATACAGACACACTAACTGCATAGACTCCCATTGTGTGTTTTGCACACATGAGTCAACAATCATAATTAATATAAATAAAGCCTTTCAAGTACATGTAAAGATATGAAAAGAATTAACCTGCCATGCATAGAAGTTGGTTTGAATTCAACTCACAAGTTTCTCTGGTAGATCTTCATCATTTCTCAGTGCATTCCACAATGACTCACACGCTTTCATTAATTGATGAAATCCTGCATCTGGTTTCAAGTCAAATATGAAGGATGAAAATCCTGTTGTGGCTTGGTGAAGACATTTCACTCTGTCTACCTCCATGTCAGTTTCACCAGCTGATATCATAGCTAAATCCACAAAGACTTTCAACTGCTGAACATCTACAAGATACAAAAAAAAATAGATTTTTGTAGAAAATTTCCAAACATTCTCAGTTGAATTATTGTCATACCTTCCAAAAAGATAAGTTTATACAAACATCTACTCTACTAAATTAATAATAAGACATATAGGTGCAATTTTCTTTTGCTGTTTTTTTTCATTTTCACAGTAATTTGGTGAAACCTGAAAAAAAAGTTGTAAACAATTATTACCTGCAACTGAGGGCTATATGAAGATTTTTGTCTTCACCAAAATGTATTGTGAACATAGACACTGGGAGTCTCAATTTTACTTACAAACACAATCGCAAATGGCCTATTGTCTGCTTTTTTATTTTAGAAACCAAGTATTAATTAACTCAAGGTCGAAGTTCAACAAAGTTTTAATTTGTTCAGCTGCATCATTAGTGCAAAACAAAGCATTGCCATCAGCACAAAGTTAAATTTAACTGTGCCTTACTAAACATTGTTTGAACGACTACATTTTGATCATCCTACCAACCTTTAATTTCCGTTCTTAGCCAATCAACCAAAGCTTTTTGTTTTACCAGTTCCTGCAAGCAAAGTATTCTCGCATGTGACATTTCAGCTAAAGCAATCCCAGCTGTCACAACCTCATGATTAATTGATTCCAATTTTCTGTCTTTGAAATCCGCATCGCGCTGAAAATAACACAGAAAACAAGTTAAAGTACCCCAAACCATTTTATAAGTGAGAATCCTCCATCACTTGAACCATGTGATGTTTAATTCAATATTTTGTTCTATTCAACGATTTGACACAATGTAAAAATGGACTCCTGTGATGCCTAAAAGTCTGGCCCCTATCTCTTTTTTTTAGCATCTTCTTTCTTCTGTGAATTTGATGGTAAAAATGGCTGATGCTAGAACCTTGTAACGTTGTAAGCTGATGCAAACTAATGGGAACTGGTGCAAATAACTTTCAGAATGGTGGTCGGCCTCTTGGTTTGGCAGATATATTGCTTTGTAATTTGTTATTGCTTCTCACCCAGCAAGTTTTTGGATCGAACTAGCTTATTAAAGAGCTACATGTATGTGAAATTTCGAAGTTTCAGCTTATTTTGTTAAACGGGTCTCGAGAAGGAGGTACAAGAAGAAGTTGGTCAAAGATCTAATTATGATGCATTTGGATTATTTTTTTTAGAATTGTAGCTAAAGAATAGATACTTGGTGAGCACAAGGGTGCTTGACTGAGTTACAGAAATCTCCTTGCAACAATCTGATTGGTCAAAAACGTCAGCACCATCTTAGATTAAGTCTAAACTGGAAACATGCTTAAAATTCTTCCTCAGAACCACAGAACATAATGACATGAAAGTTACTTTTTAGCTTTTTGGGGGGTTAATCAAGTGGTTTGGCCGCCATATTGAATTACTTTTTTTTAACAGGAAGTAGTTTTTTACTGATGTCTCAGCTATCCTGTTTCTTCAAAATATGTCATGTTGCATCTCTCAACTGAACTTTTTCAGACAGTGTAAAATTAATTTAGTCAGAAGATTTCCCCACTATCTTTATGTTTTGATAAAAATGATCAAAAGTGTGGGCATTCTCATGAATGCTACAATTTGGTATTTTGTAAATAACATGTATAGTATAGAGTTTTTTAAGGAAAAAATAAAATAATTTTGATCAGTCACATGGTTTGGCCACTATTTTGTTTCAACTGATCAACTCAATATTATGTATATAGCATACACAACCAAAGCTTTATACGAAAAATAAAATAATTTTGATCAGTCATATGGTTTGTTTGCCATCTTTGATTTTGCAAAAAAAGAAAATTGTGCAATTACATGTCGAGTATTGGTCTAATTGATCTGAAATTTTCACATGGATTTCACTCTAGAGATGCATTCCTTCCTTGGAATATCACATGGTGGTTTAGCGCCCATGGAGTGGAAGTATATATATATATGGTCATGTGAACTCATCATGTGAACTGCATAAATGTCATATATGAAACACTGTTGCAGACTGTGACACACGCAACCAATGTCTTAATGAAGGTATTGAATGAAAGATGTAAATAACATGGCCACAAAAGATCATATAACCTCGTAACCTCATTAATATACTTAGGGGGTTAGATTATGTTCGCTGGTTCAATTGTTTGGCCAATACACAGACTGAAACATACATTTTACCCATACATGTTATGTACCATAATAAAGATCTTGTTTCAAACTTTGAAAATATGCCATTTTTTTAATTTATGCAAATACCAAGTCACGTGATCACAGGAATAATCGTAAATGGAGTAAAACGGTTAATGATGCAGTTAATAATTAATTTGCAGCACGACTGAATATATTTTTCTATGTAAATATTATAGAGAAGTGCTTCAGTTTTTTGGCAACTATAATTTGTTTTTATGTAGATCTATTTCAAATGTTTGGACGTTAATACCTGAGTAAAAACTACATGTCTCTATATAAAAATAAGCAAAAAATCTAGACAAAGGCAGACAGAAAAAAATCCAGGAACATTCCTTCAGTACACTATATAGCGGTAAATTTGACCAAAAGTGGCGACGATCGTTTTGTGTGTTCGAAATTGCGTACAGAATCAGTAGAACTATGTAGAAATTACTTTCGAGATAAACACAAAAAAACGTTCAAGGTCAATGAATTTCAAACTAGGCCTAAAAATCTTTAAAAATATGAAGTTATAATCATTGAAACATGTCTGCCAAGTGACCAGCTACTAAATAATGCCTTCTAATGTCGGAGCTAAATGTTATACGCGTTAAAGACAGGATGAAATGTGTTTTGAAATACCTACCGCGTGTCAACCGATAACGTGATGACTTCCCGTAAAAGTGTTGTAGTGATTTGCATATTACTAATATGTTGTTGTTATTCCAAATATAGAAAACGGTTTAAGCCGTGTGCACAGGATATCTTCAAGTTTGTAAAACTGATAGCTATGTAACCATGGTATGTTGTAGCAAGTGTGCAAACAAGAGTAATGACTTTGCTTTTTTTTCGCTCGCTTTTACGACCGCTTGTTGAATTCGACCGGACAATTTCCTCTTTCGATCGTGCAAAACACCAAAATATCACCGCCCGCCCGCCCGCTCGCATTTAAAATTCGGACTAACAAAAAATTTCCGAGGTTCACATTGTCTTGTAATTGCCTTTCTGGTTTTTATAGATGTTGAACAGCCGACAATAGTTCAAATACTTTTTGTTTTAACTATCTATAATTATATGCATGCAATCTGATCCTTTGACCTCGATTTTGCTTGGATTGAATATTTTATTTTAAACGTTATCATTGTCCAGACCCTCTAGAAAGTTTTTACGCACCACACTACATGCAGTTACTACCCACGATATCATTCAATAAAATAAACTCAATAACGGTTTGAATAAATATATTTACATATCGAATAAAATGTTTACAATCAAAACAAAACAAAAATTGCAATTGTGATGCAAGAATGAATAAAAACTGAACGAAACAGTGAATATAGAGAATACCATGTAAACGCAGACTGATGAATATTCACGAGTAATAGAATGCGGCGAACGTTTCTAAATCAGTTATCCGTAGGTCATCGTCTGAGCAACAACATGCTTTTTACGAATAGATGAAATAATTGCAGTGATATTTTTACAAAACAATAGAATGCAATGTCTATTGCAAAACAATTCAAGTAACAACCAGTTTGGAACTACAAGTTTCTATCTGGAGCGAGTTCTATGTTTGAATTTACTGTGTTAAAAATCGTTCCATTTCAAACTGCACTTGTACACAACTTGTCACTGATAAAATTTATTTATTTGAAGTATGTCTTATTTTGATCACAGACTTGCTTTTGTCTGATATGTTATGCAGTTATGCATATTAATGAGGTTACATGACCATACATGGACATGTATTTTAGTTATATCACTTGTTAAATGCCTTCATTATAGCACTGGTTGCATGTCATTATCTGCAGCAGTGCTTACAGCCATTGTGAGAATTATTCGCCTAGTTAGCAAAATCACTTCCAACTTTGCAAAACATTTGCGGGTCTTTGCCCAATCTAGACTTGTCGGCGCCACTTGATTGACGCATGGTTTGGGATTACTATTTCATAGGGATTGTCAGCATGGTGAATTGCAAGTATTATCTAGCGTGCGTATACAGCAACGATTCTTTATTTTTTATATTTATATTGTAATTATTTTCAGTAATTTTAAAAATCAAAAGTTAGGTGTAGCTTAAATTTGTCAAAAAATGTCAACCCCTAGCTCATTTTAGTCAGTTGTACCTGTTACAAAAATGGAATAGACATAATAAGATATATTGCTAACTGACTGTCCAAATAATTCTCAGAACGGCTGTAATACATTACAGTTATGCATATTGATTAAGTCAAATGATGATGATATATGGTCGTTTGATGTGTTAGTTATATCTCTTTGTCTTATAGCACTAGTTGCCCTTAGTCTTAACAGTACTTGAGATATATACATATTGCATATTAATGAGGTCGAGGTCACATAAATTAATTAATAAAATACAAAGAAAATTGTGTAATTTATATCTGATTGTAGGATATTCTGGCTGCCGTTGGCCATCTTTTACCCAATCACGAAATCATTGCCAATGTATACGTATCAGACTAAAGCATGTGCAAGGTTTGAAGAGAATCAGTCAAGGTATGCTTGAAATAAAGACCCAAAAAAAAGCAAAACCATAAGTGCCTGTTTTAAACTTAGTTCAAACAACATGGTCGTCAATCAATCATTTTGAACCTGATCTGCAAAACAAACTGACATAAAATTACAGATTATTTAAATTAGCTAAAATAACATAATAGCTAAAAAGACATGTTTTACAGTATACATTCAAGAAGCGATTCCAACCAATGCACAGAAAAACAGCCTGGTAAATAGCCTGGCCCTTGTATAATAGGAAAAACACAGTATATACATACCACTGAAGACAGCAGAAGAACAGCATTGAAGTCACCAGACAATCCAAATGTCTTCTTTATGTTTATAATGGTACCAACTGCATCTAGTCTATCTTCTAACTGGTGATACTGTTTAATTTGGACCATCCTGTCTTTGATCCAATCAGCTTTTGATCTAGCCCCAAGGAGCTGCATCAACTCTTTCTCCAATTGATCATAATGATTTCGGAATCTGCCAAACAGAGTATCCACTTCCTTAAGAGTGAGACTCCCAGTTTGTGTCTTGGTTAGAACCTCCATGATTTCTCTAAAGACAAACTGCCATACTTCAACAGCAACTTCATCAATAGACAGTATGTTAGTACCACTTCGCTTTTGTTTCTCTTTGTGTTGTGTTTTTGCTCTGGAAATCCACATGTTCTGAAAAAGTGAACTGCTGTGGATTTTTTGCAATGGTTCCAGCATTTTTTTCACAGCCAAAGACAATCCAAAGAAGGTTACTTCTAGGAGGCGAGTACCAATTTGGTCAAGCTTGATTGGATTACAAACATCCGAGAGTTTCAATTCATCTATGTTGACCTCAACTTTTTCTTGCAATTGTTGAATATCAACTAGAAAAATAGAAATAAAATGTAATCACAGGTACAACCAAATTGACACATACTTTATAATAATTAGTAACATGCTCAACAGATGCATTGTATTCAGGTACCAGTATCTCTATGTCAATTCAAAAACAATCTGGCATATTGATATACATTCAAATGACAACAATAAATATAGTTACTAATCAAATTTAACAAACACATGTATTTTTAATCATACCTGGTTGAATTGATTGGCAAATTCCAAGGAAGGAACTAATGAGCTTTCTGTCATGCTCAAAAGCTTCCAGTTCTTTTTTCCTATGATCTAATATCTTTGTGATATTAGGAAAATCTGGACGGTGACAACCCTGTTCCTTCGATGGAATAGTCTCACCACCTGTTACTTTATAAAGCTCAAGAAAATGATTGATATTGTTCAACACCATATTAAGATCATCAGTTTGTATAGCACCACTCAGTAGCTCTTGTGTCAAGCTGTCAAGAACAGACTGCGATATTGCAACATGTTCTTGTGCTAAAGTAGATAAAATGTTTCCATGACCTTGGCTCGCACCTGAAGAGAAAAAAAGTCCTATACATGTACAATGAAGCTCTAAGATTTGGCGCATCATACTTTCTGAAACTTCATTTCAGTAGAGTAGAATCATATCCATATTGGGGCATGTAACAGTTAATGTATATGGAATAATTATTCATGTATTATTTTCACTTACATCAACCTGCAAAAAGCACTTAACTAAAAAAAAAGTGGATATTCAAATATAACAGTATTGTTTCTTTCACAAACTAGTGAATTTAAAACCTAGTTACATCAAATATGCTTTATAGATTAAACCATGAAAATATTTCTTCTTCCATAGTCACATGTTTCAAATGATACGACCAAGAATGTGTCCAGAAACCTTGCATACGCTATATATATGATTCCTCTTGAGATTGCTGGTGCTTACTGTTATTCAAAAACTGATCAATCAAAACAAAAGAAGTAACATTGACTACTTGTATATGCATGTATAAAGACAGTGAAATTTTCTATATACCTGTCATTTTGAAAAATCCAACAAAAGGAGTCCAAGTCAACAAATGCTGTAGAATCTGTTTGAATGATGCACAGTTTTCTCCATGATTTGGAGCGGGCCATGATTTCTCCAACATATGAGATAATAATGTGCCATATTCATTTACTTCAGATTGATTAATTGTTCTAAATAGATCTTCAGAGTCTTTTGCATGCTGGAATGAAAAATGATGTTAAGTCACATCAACCTTGAGTATATCATTCATACATAAATAATATCTCACCAAAAAAAAATTCAAATAAAAATAGAAATGAAAGCTAACAAGCAGCCTGTCGGCTGAGATAGCTCCGCTGTCAGCAATGCACATTTCAATTAAAGAACAGAAGATATCATTAGAAAATGAACAATATGTATAGTATCAAGCAATGGGACTTGCTGTTTTCAACAAGAATTCAAAAATATCACTTTTTACCAAAAATATTCACCAAAATTAGAAAATTAAAGATATCAATCATTACAAAATAAACAAATCTGAGAGAGGTCCACATGTAGTACCTATATATGTAATATCAAAGCAATTGCACTTGCGGTTTTTAACAAGAATTCGAAAATATCACTTTTTACCAAAAATTACAAAAATAATCATTAAATTAGAGAATTGAAGATATCAACATGAAATGAACAAACCTAAGAGAGGTCTACCCAAGGTACACCAAGTATCAAAGCATTCAGACTTGTAGTTTTTAAGAAGAAGTTGAAAAAGTAAAACATTGACACGGACGACGACAGACAATCACTCATATGATAAGCTCCGCTCGACAAAGTCGACAGGGGAGCTAATAAAAAAATGGTAGGTTCACTAGTTAATAAGCTACCATGTATATGACAGTGACAACTTCTGACTATCACAAATATGCAGTTGCTTTCAGATGTTTTAAGGTACCAGATCCATGCATGTTTATGAATTGTTCGCAAAATATGACAAATGTCTATTTAATTCATCAACACACAGAAGCAGGACAACAAAAAGTGTGTTGTTTTGGGAGCATACACTTTCCAGGATAGTCAACAAAATGTATTTTCATTATTTTCGCATGTATATATTCACTTTCAGTTAAAAGAACTGAACATTATATATAATACAGTTTGTATGTAGCAGTAGAAAACAATTTAAATATAATTACTTTGCAAATCTCTCCAACAGCACTGAAGGCAGCATCACTCAAAGTCTTCTGAACAGTGGGATGATAATCTTGAACATCTTTACGACAAAACAGTTTCACCTTTTGCGATGGTTTTGCCTATAAAATAAAAAATATTTGAAGATACAATATTCACATAGAATAACATGAAATCACACAGGAGCTAACATTTAATAGCAAGTTGTTGCTAATGTCATGATCAAAGCTTGAATGTTTAGGTATAGGCTCTCTTTTTTTTACAGCAAAACTCATTCATCTCTAAATATTTCTGACAAACTATAACATAATGTATTCAATGACAACTACAAAATTTGAGAACTATTTATAGTTGTAATGCAACAGATATAGTAGACATGGAAAATAACATGTGAATTTATAACAAAATTAAATTTCAGTCACACTGGTTGTAATACTATCATTGATTTGACTCATGAACTCTTAATATATCACACATTAGTTATTTTAAAATTGTAGTATGAAAGTACCGTTTTAACTCTATCCTGAAACAGCTCCAGAAAATGTTTATGCCATATTTCCCCTGCTTCCTGATCTGAGAACTCAACCAAGAATATATGGTGCCATACCTGTCAATCAAAATTATACTGCCATTATTCAAGGAAGAACAAGTTATACATTGTAGCAATGAATGGAGTAAATATGTTTCAAAATACATTGGAACTTCAGAAAAAGATCAAGTGCATGAGTTGATAAATAATTTTTATTGATAAATAAATATACAAATTCCCCTTAAGGATAATTTAAAATTTTACATATTAGTTAAGTCATACTTACCTTATCAAAATTAAAGTATAGCATTGGACTTGTAGGCTAAACGTCCATTTGCATGTCGAAAATTTAGCATGTGCCAATAAAATTGGACAACTAGGGGGTTCAGTGGAATATTGTAAAGATGGGAGGCGATTGGAATAAGGTAAGTATGACTGCACTATGTAAAATTTTGAATTATCAAGGAGCAAAATTAGTATATTTTATTGCGTTATAAAGTCATACTTACCTTAACAAAATCCAATATATAGCATTAGATAGACTAGTGGGCCCCAAGCATACACAGGTGGTGGGTGATCTGCCAGAGATTCAGGTCAACTGTGACCATCAAGAAAATTCCTAAAAGTAGGAAAGGGCGCTGCCAAAAACTAAACTGTCTGGAGTTGCTATCCCTTTGGCAAGTTGGGTTAGTCCAGTCATCATTTGTGGGCTGCTAGGCTTTGCAGTGTCTATGTCATTCTCATCCCTACTGGCAGCCAACATCGCTGGGCTTGGACAGAGTACTAACACTACTGATCATACTCTGAGAGCTGCTTGCAAGTCATTCCCACAAAACTCATTAGTTGTCTGAGTTACACAGGGTTACTCTTTCCTGACAGGTTGGCATAAATAAAGGCATAAATGTTCAATGGTTGAGTAGCTTTAGCCAGAATTCATATGATGTGGCCACCACATAACGAAGGCCTTGATAATAGTCAATGACCAGGTTAGTGTCCCATAATACTACTCCATATTACTCACTCTCTGCCCTACAAACAACTTGTCAGTCAGTGGTGGAATGACAGCATCATGATGCTTAGGTCTAGGGTTAGAGAAAATTTCACATTCGCCTCAGTGGCCTTACATAATTTTTTTTTATTCCAAGACTGACTAATTTTTATTGCTTGACTTTCCTGCACAGCTGCTGCAATTATTGACTGCCCAATCTATTACTACCTCAGCGTCCAGCTGATACTGATGCAATAAAAAAATTCAGTCCCATTTGAGTTTTATTTTTGCTTTGGCCTGCAACAATTGCCAATGCCCACCTGATTCATCGTTGCATTGCAACAACCCATTATCTGTAACCTCCTTAACTGACAATGCCTGCGAAACTTGCTGGCAAATGTCATTAGTGAATTCACTCAGAGTGTCTCATGTATACTCATGCATTCTTCAAGACTCATCTGTTTGCAATTTTTATTCTTAGTTTTTATTTGTTCATTTTTGGGAGGGCATGTGTGACATTTGAAAAGACAGATATAGGAGGAGCATTCCTATATAGACACCCTATACAGACATTATCTCTCAAAAAACACTTAAAATAATAACAAGTCAAAATGGCATTCAAGGCCATGTGGAAATCCCTCCTCTCCAGAAAACTAAACAAACAAACAAACAAATCAAAAGAAAATACCTTTCCACTCAAAGCGGGTGCAAAGTGTTCTAGTCATCATCAGCTTTTGACATATTGACTTCAGAAGTAGAATTGTAAAAATTTGGCACTGGACACCCTAAGTCATCCATTTTATTTACAACTGGGGGTGCTAATTTTCCAAGACAGCGCTCAACTTGTCTACCAATGCTATACACTGGATTTTGGTAAGGTAATGAGGTAAAATTAAGCTCACAATTAAAAACTCACCTTTAGTTCATTGGTATAATCTGTTTTGCTTCCACATTCCCAGCTCGAGAACAATGAATATGGTAGCTTAGTGTGAATCCACTGGTGCATAGATGAAATAACACTGTCATACATTTCTTTCATTTTGTCAATTTCAGTATTTTTAGAAGTCTGTCGGGTCACACGTTTATTCTGTGGAATTTTAGTCATTGTGTAACTGTAACATGCTGCATATAAGTTACATATACAACATAGAATATCATACGAATCTATGTAAGATTTATTCATAACTGTCTTCAGTAGTGTCAATACTGAATTTGTATCCTCCAAGCATGAAGAGAGATTTTTTACATCATCTTCATTTATCTGTGAACTGAAATAGCCAAATAAATTAATTGGTAATTCAATATAAATAGCATATACAAAATTTGAGAAACCTTGCATAGATTAAATTCATTTTACTTTTGCTTGTTTTTAGAAATCAGGTGACAGAGCAGTGACTTTAATGGATTTTTATAAGATGAAAAGTATATAATTTACATTTTATCAAGCAACTTATACAGGTAAAGTGGATGAAACCAGCCTGAGGATAATTTTCCTAACACCGAACACATTGTGTATCATAATAACTGTTGAACAGATCAGTTTACAGAACATGGAAATTAAGAAAGTAAAACTGGTGTCCACATCAGAATCAAATAGAAACCTTTTTTTCTACAACTCAATGTATTTGCATATACTTGCATTTGAAGAAACAAAATGGATAAGGAATAATGTTGAGGAAATTTCATTGAAACAAAAACAATTTGACATGCATATCGTGGCTTTGTACCAAATTTTGGGTACCAATTAGTTGAATTTCACTGAAAAATACAAGCCATCATGTCTTACCTTTATGCCAAATTTAGACAAAACCAGAGAAATAGTGTCCACAAAATTGGAAAGGACATTTGAAAATAAAACTAACAGTTAGCTATTTTGTATCAAAACTTGAAACAAAATGAATGCATCAGTAAAACCATCATGTGTAATGTTCATGCCTGAAAAATGGCTGATGTTGAAATGTTGTCGACCAACGGTCAAGAAAATGGAAAATAAATCATCTGATGACGGACTAGTAAAAGTATATGTATTCATACTGTACATGTACCTGGTTTCTTCTTCAGACATTTCCAAATGGCGTATACGACCAGTTAAAGATTCAATGATCTCCCAACAAGTATCCTGAAAGATTTGCTGGAGCAAATAAATAGTAGGTGAATTTTGTTACACTGTACTATGTTGGTGTTTAGCATGAGAAGTTATTACCAGCAGTGGCATTTCTTACATTACAATACCTCAGACAATTGAAAATGTTAAAATACATCAAGCAACTGAAAATATCAATGCAACCACTTTCTTCTTGTACGACAAATGAATAGTCAGCACTTACTATGCTACTCTTTGTACATGTTCTACGGTAGTTCTACTTAGAATGTAAGCTAAATGTCTTGGACTGCAAGACAGCTAGCATGTGTTCATCTATAATGTCAATGTTAAAATGCCAGAAATACAAGATGGTGACCAAACTGATGGTGACGACTGATCAAAATTACATTATTTATCTTGTAAGAAGCTTTGACCATACATGTTTATAAGCAGAATATAAAGTTGATTACTTGAAGCATTTATGAAGACAAATGCCCCAAACTTTTGATAATTTTTATCAAAATTCAGATGGCAGCTAAACTATGTGACTGATCAAAATTATTTTATTTTTCTCTAGGGTTATTGGCCATGCTTCAAACCAAATATCAAGTTGATCGGTTAAAGCACTCATGAGTACAAATGCACAACATTTTTGCTGAAAATTCATGATGGTGGCCAAACCAAGTTACCAGCCATAACAAGATTTTAAAACTTCAATGTGCTTCACACATAGATGCTAAAAATCTGCAAATTTCTAATCAAAGTGTTAATCACTGACGTAAATACTCGACCCCAGCACCTGGCAGCGTATACGCATATTACTTTGTTTAGTCAATTCAAAAACACAACCATTGTGCTAGGGATTTTTTTAGTTTAAATAATATTTATTATAAGTATACAGTATGGTTATAAACTATGTTTGGTTTAAAAACAATACTACCCTTCAACAATACTATCCTAGCAAAACAACTATTCAACAATTTGGAAAAAAAAAGAACAGCATACATAGCCTAAGCAACAAGAGAAAGAAAGGTGATAAAATAAAGTCAATAACATGGCTGACTACCTGCAGAAAACAGGTGGGAATGATGACAGGATAAAAACCACTAAAAAGTCAACAGACAATTATATTGAACGGAACACAGAACAAGGCATGAAACACAGCAAAACAAAGCAGAACACAGGAAATATCTAGTCAATCAGGTGGCCATTTGAGGGACATTGAATACTAATGAAACCTCAAGGAACTCAAGTGGCTTTACGGTGAACGCAAGATTGAAAAACAGCCATTTGACACAATCAATACATATAGCAGGTATATAAGATTAGTTTTCTAAAAGAAACAAGACTAATTGGACAGTGTAAAATTGAGATACAAGCAGAATTGTGCAAAAAAAGATGAAAAGTGATGATTTTCTCAAACAAAATGGTTGCCAGCCAACCATTTGGATAACATCATTGCACAAATCAACAATACATTACCAATGTACCAAGTTTAAATAAATAAGTCATTGACATGGCATTTGAACTGGTCTCAAAATGGTGGAAATGCTTGCTTTTGATGTTTTTTAGCTTTAAAATAGAATAAATTCTTGAAACAAATGCATGTGCATGCATGCAAAATGATCAGATCTGAAAAAACAAAATGACGTCCATGTTGGTCCCATTATGTCCAGTATATGCACCAAGTTTGAAAACTCTGCTGATACATGTTGGAGATCCAGGTCTAGAATGGCAGAAATGCTTAAATTTGATAATTAAAACTAAAACAGCTGGCATACCACCATACATGAATACAGTACTCATTTCGCCCAACCTCCCGCCCGCTTCCGGATTTTGATCGCTTTTTTTTCGCTCGCTTTGTTCAATTCGACCGGACAATTTCCGCTTTTTTTTGGGCCGCGCAAATCCGGAAGTATCCACTTGCGTGCTCGCTCGCTCGCCTGACAGCGTGTTTACACATTAGCATAATTTCCTCGAGTTCACTCATCGCTTTCCCACATGCATTTCTCGTTCTTTGCTGCTAACTTTTTTTTGCACTCTTGTTTGTAATATGTTGTTGTTTTTGTCTTTCTAAACATCGAGTTTATTTTTGATTGACATTCAACAAGATCGTTTGAATTTTGAATTTGATGGTGGTTCGAATTTATCCACTTTTACAGTAATCAATATTGTGTTCGAGTTGAGTTACTAGTAATTACAAGCCTGATTTACATTTTTCTTGCGGTGTTTTTCGTCAATGTATTAAATATAATTGCTTTGGGAAATAGAATAATTATATTGCGTGAGTGATAGAGTCTGGTGAGACTGTGTCACAACACGTTCTATTTATTTCCAACGCGCGTGGTCGGCGCCTCTGATTGTGTTTATTTTGTATTTGTATTTTCGAAATGTATCACTGGCTGCGTTTGTTTTGTTTTAAGTTTTCCTCAACAATTAACTGTTCCGAGATCTCTTTCATTTTTCGTCCGGCTACTGAAAATCCAATAATTCATCGCCGCATGTACTCAGACAAGCGAGTATTCGTCACAGTCATTATGCTAGTAGTTAGAGTCCAATTAATTTGTAGAAATTCAGCTATGCAATGATTATATGTGCACTTTTGTTTTGCGCACCCAGACACGAGCAAAAGTTGACCCGATAGATTTTCTGAACTACTGCATTCTTATTACTTATGCAAATTGAGTAAGGGTCATAGTGTGAGTTGTGTTCGCAAATAACAGTGTAAAATTATTCTGAGCATCGTTTGGAATAAATTTAGTCAAAATCACACACAGAAACACACACACAAATACTAGTACTCAATACATATCACGATTGATTGACCAGTTATATAGCTGCTTGAACTACGCACACAAGGACGTAAATATGTAAATACAGGTCACAGTTTGACTTGCGTAGCAAACGTTACAATGTGTCAAGTGATTTGAAGGCGTCTTTGACTCCCCTTCCCAATACAGAAAAGCAATACGCGTTGTATTTTGAATCGTTGAACCTAAATTTATTACGAATAAAAACATAAGTTTATACATACAATGTACGATCATCGCTTCTGAAGCCAGCCATAGCAGGATCGAGCGAGCGGAAAAAAAGTGGTCATTTTCTGGTCGGAAAGCAGCGAGTGGTCGGAAATTAAGCGATAAGTGGTCGAAAAAAAAGTGATAAAAGCAAGAGGTTGGGCGGAATGAGTACTGTAACTATAATAAACAAGCCACGCATGGCACAGTCCCTGTTAGTTATCGACTTTAGGATATATGGTTTTGTTTATAGTAATATAGCTGGAATATAAACATGTCAGGAATATGATTATGATGATTGTTTAACATTCAAATGATTGACATTTGTATCTGATCGTCAAACGAGTAATGAGAGATATTGCTCTGGAACAGCATTAATTAAAACAAAATCCACCATTTTGAATACATGTATAATGAATATATAAAATTTGAACATAGTCAGTCAAATCATGTCAGAGATATGACTCTAGAAGCCCATTCATTGAAACAAAATGGCCACTAATCAGCCATTCTGAATCCGATCTAAAAAATAAAATAACATGCATCAGGAACCCGTAATGTCTAATGTATGTACCAGGTTTGAACAAAATCCATCCATAAATGCCAGAAATGCTTGATATTTGATGATTTTTAGCACAGAAATGGCCACCATTAGGCCATTTTTAATAGGATCATCAAACCAATATATTGGTATATCTATGACATGATTTATAATGAATATTTAAAATTTGAACATAATCAGTCACAGCAAGTCAGAAATATGGCACTAGAACCACATTTATTAAAACAAAATGGCAACCAGTCAGCCATTTTGAATCTTATCTGAAAACAAAATGATGTGCATCATAGTCCTATAATGTCCAACGTACATACCAAGTTTGAACAAAATCCATCTGTAAACAGCCGAGAAATGCTTAATTTTGATGATTTTTAGAACAAAAATGTCCATCTTGAATCAGATAGTGAAACAAATTGTTGTGCATATGTATAATATCATGTATGATGTATGTGTGAAGTTTGATTGTGATTGGTCCCGGCATTTCTAACATACAGGAGGTCAAAACATAAGTCCCCGAAAAGGCAGACTGTGCAGGCAGAGCCGCTAAACTTCATCCCCGTCGATGCGGAGAAAAAGAAGAGTGATTATCCGGCCGTAATGGGCCGCCATATGACCTCGGTCACGTGGTTCGTGACGTAAGGGAAAAGAATTTTGGGGTCATGGGACTTCCCCTGACCTATTTCTATCTCCGTCATTGGCAGAATCTCTGATTAATGCTTACAGTTCAAAATACAGGTAGTCATTTTGACTGACCAGAGTCTATGGTGGGTAATTGAACATAGTGAATTTGTTCAGTTCACAGTGCTGTTCGGTGATTTTACCAAGTATGTCTGTAGGTGGACTGGAAATGATATTTCATCTACCGGTAGATAGTTTGAGGACAATATAAAATTTACTAACCTTAAAATAAAAGGGGCGATTTTTGAATGTGAAGTGCAAGCTGTAGCATACTTCAGGAACTAATACTGACATCGAAAGTGACTTCACCAAGGTAGCTAACTGATTGAATGGTACAACCCTCACACATGCCCTGCACAAAAGTGTGTCAACTGGAAACAACGGTTCTAGGCGTTTTACAATTTCAACCACATTCATATGGTTCCTGCAAATATACATCATAAAGAATTATTTAAACCTTGTACATGTTGTCATGCAACAGAAGGAGTGAATTTGTAATGTATTCTAGACATTTAACTATTAATGTGAATTCTGCACGATGAAATTCCTCATAATGTCGTTTCTACTAGTGAATATATGTCATTTTTCATCCTACTATATTTTAATGTCTTAGGTAGACAAGTCTCATTTCTTTTGTGAAACTATTATAGGCCTCACGCAACCAGATGTCTTTCCTTCAACCTCAAATTTGCTCCCTATTTCTGCCCAATGCTATTGACTGTAGTGCTAGGGTTGATCATCTGCAACACAAATCTGTATCAACAGCAGGTTCATCCTCACAGCATCAGCACATACCAGACAGTTACAATCAACAACATCCAAGTGTACCTATTTTGAGTGGCAGAGTCCCAAGACATAACTTAGCAATAACTGAACAGAATTTTAATGGAATATATAACAGCACATACTGCTCAAGTTTTTCATCATATTTGTACAATATGTTTAAAGTTAGGCTTGTGCAGATAATGTCATCTTAAGTCAGTAGAAGCAGACAACTGCAAGTTTTTTCTTGCTGTGTTCAGGATACTTTTAAGTCCAGCTTCCTGGGCATTTTGAGAGTTGGATACATCTAGTTTGATAAGACCAGCTTCATTAACAATAGATTTAGCTATTTTGGTCCACACCTCATCATGTGCATAGATCCATTTGATTAACCGGGTACTAGGACATTTTTGTAGTCTTACCCGAAAGCAAATTACTTCGATCTTACACCAGAAGTTACTAAGCAACCACCCCACCCCTACAGAGATACAGTAGGACGAACAACCCTGTTCCAGAATATGAACACATAATAATAACAGGTGTTAGGTAATTCAGTAATATTATAACTTTCATAAAGAGTAGTCAGTACTTACTCAATGAAGTTTACAAAACTTTGTGTGTTAAGTGATTTCACTCCCCACCAAGCAATATCTTCATAATTATCTACAACAGATGGTGGTTTAAAAGGGGCACTTTCCAGTCTTAGGAAGTGAAGAACAGGTACACACAGCAAGAATCTTGGATCAACATGTTTCTTTGCTGTAAATGTTTTATTACAAAAACTACACAGCAATTCAGCTAGCTTCCTACAGGGAACACAATGAGCAAGCATTATAAAACTGAGTATGCACATAACAGAAAGAGTGCTTGATCTTGTAACCAATCATTTGTGAGCCAGTTTGTATTAGTTTTTCACATGTTGTTTTGGATACCAAGATGTTAGAAATTATATTTTATACAACTTCATTGAGTGTATATGAACGAAAAAACACATGTTTCCATATTCCTAATGTAACATAGATGCCTACAATATGAAACATTCTAGGTACAAAACTGAACCTGGTACCATATGCTTTATTAGAAGCTCATGCACTTATAACATGTCACATTTTAATGATTGGTTTATGTGAGCTTCTCTTGAACATTCACTTCTAATAATAATAATACATATTATCATTGGTAAATATATCTGCCTAAAACAGCATACATGTATTCCTACTGACGGGAAGTGATCATTCAACCCAATTTGGTCGCATGTTAGCTAAACAACAGAACCAGGAATTCATTTATTTTTATATTTATATTTATTATGAGCAGATGAATCTGTACCATAATTTGATGCTATTCGCATTTTGATGTTCACAATTGAAGACCCCAACACATGCACAAACTTTACTCAACACATTCATATGTGGTATATAGCACACAGTACAGCACTTGGACTTTTTAGCATTTAAACAATAATGAAACCCCCACCAACCCATGATGGAAAGCTCACTTTGCGTGAGTGACACATATGTGTAAGGTGTTAACTGTGCACATAGATGGAGCACAAAGAGTGCTCAAGTCCATTATGGGTTGGAGCGGAGTTCATTATTGTCATTATTTTAATAGTAGCGTTGTCAAAACCAGTGGATTTGCTGCCACTAAGAAGTAAAAAATCCACAGTGAAAGGAATCTGAATCTCCATAATTTAAAAAGTCATTCTTGAAATTTGTTTTCTCAATTCCACATGGCAAAACAAAATGAGAAAAAACTAGTTTTAATCTATCACATATTAAATGCGTTTTGAATTATTTACATTGTGAGTAAAAAAAAAAATGATGTGTGATGTGGAGTAGTATTGTTGTAACTGTCATATCCATATCCATGGTACGAGAACTTGATGTTCAGTAATGAAAAATATTATAATTGCAAATTATCTGCAGCAATAAATATTACTGGTATTTATAATGCAATAATATAATCTGGTATTATTGACAATACCACTGCTTTGTCTTTTTAATACATACTTTTTTTGTTCCTTTCCTGGAAAATGATGTTCAAGTCCTTCAAAGTCATGACAAATGCTTTTCTCAAAATTAGGACGAATCAGGAGTGCTTCAAAAAGGTCACCAACTATGCAATAGTCCAATTTATCAAACAAAGAATTTTCCTCAATCAGTGTGATAATTGCTAAGGCTGATGCTAGTCGCTGAACTCCTTGCTCAGCAGTTTCTTCATCCATAGACTTGAATTTCTTGAATGTTTCCAGCTTAGGTGTTAAGTATTCAACCAGCATCTGAAAAAATAGCAAATTTCAGATTACAGACTTGTCTGTTATGTTATTTGGCTTTGCAGTTGCCTGTACAATTTAGTGTCTCTGATATTTGAAATTGTATACTATCACTCAGATGAAGCTATTAGTAAAGACTACCCTCGACAACACTAACAGTTCTGAGTATTATAAACAGATTTGAACATAATTGGTCAGAGAGTGAACATAAAATACATAGTGAAAAAAGGAAATGGTCACCAATCAGCCATATGAAATCATATCACAACAAAATAGTGTTCATCTACAAACTAATAAATACTATTATTTATTAGAGAAACAGTTATAAATTAAGTATTAGGATTTAATGTTTTTGTGACACCCAATTAGCCAGACTAAATTAATGTGCATCAGTAACCCAACATGTGTGATGTGTTAATACAAAGTTTGAATGTAAATGACATATTGTATTTTTGTTTTTAGAATGAAACACAATGATCATCAAGGTATCAGACATTTTAATAACATCAAACACATTCATGAAAGTACCTTGCTGTCACACAATGCCACATTGGCAGTGAGCATACAATAATCTTTTCTACTAAGAAAACTAGAATTTTTCAAAGAAGATCAATTACGTGCTGGTAATTTCCAAATTGAATTCATATTTGTTATACCTTTTTAAAATCAAATCCATAAGGCTTATAGTTTTGATTTATGCCATGTAATATCTGCTGTACTTTTGATATTGCATCAAATGCCAATCCTGGAGTCACAGTTTTCTTATCTTCAGGAACACAGAATCCATTCCAGGATGGTAGCATAAACTTTGTCACAAAGGTCTTGTTTTCAAGAGCAAGTTTACCACTTCCAAATACTTTTTCATAGTATGATGAAAAAGTTTTTTTAATTTTCCCCCACCAGTTAGAGCCATGTTCTGGGTACATTACATCATCATATCGATTCCAGTCACCTGCAGATATTATAAACTTCATTTAAAACTACAATGTAATTTACATCAAACAGAAATAAACTTTAAAAGGCGTTGGTCGTCGCGCAGCACAGGTTCAATTTTCAAGTAAACAAACAATTTATTTTACATGCATTGTATCGAACAGGACATGGACCATTGGGTAACAAAGAAGTGGTATATATTTAAGCAATAATATATGGAATGAATTGTGCAATATCGAGTGGTATACCCGCCTTCGGCAGTGGGTTATTGCTATTATATTATACCAGTATATTGACAATTTGATAAAACTTTAAAAACCAAGTCCCTGTTAGTTATCAAATTTAAGATATATAGTTTTGTTTATAGTAATATAGCTGGAATATAAACATGTCAGGAATATGATTATGATGATTGTTTAACATTTAAATGATTGACATTTGTATCTGATTGTCAAACGAGTATTGAGAGATATTGCTCTGGAACAGCATTGATTAAAACAAAATCAGCCATTTTGAATACTGTACATGTATAATGAATATATAAAATTTGAACATAGTCAGTCAAAGCATGTCAGAGATATGGCTCTAGAAGCCCATTCATTAAAACAAAATGGCCATGAGTCAGTCATTCTGAATCTGATCTAAAAAATAAAATAACGTGCATCAGGAACCCGTAATGTCTAATGTATGTACCAAGTTTGAACTAAATCCATCCATAAATGCCAGAAATGCTTGATATTTGATGATTTTTTAACACAAAAATGGCCACCATTCGGCCATTTTTAATAGGATCTTCGAACCAATATACATGTATCTGTATATCTATGACATGATGTATAATAAATATTTCAAATTTTAACATAATCAGTCACAGCAAGTCAGAGATATGCCACTAGAACCACATTTATTAAAACAAAATGGCCGCCAGTTGGCCATTTTGAATCTTATCTGAAAACAAAATGATGTGCATCAAGGTCCTATAATGTCTAACGTATATACCAAGTTTGAACAAAATCCATTTGCAAGCAGCCGAGAAATACTTGATTTTGATGATTTTGAGAACAAAAATGGCCGTCATTCGGCCATCTTGAATCCGATTGTGAACTAAATTGATGTACATATGTATAATATCATGTGCATGTATGATGTATGTATAAAGTTTGATTGTGATTGGTCCTGGCATTTCTAAGATACAGGTCCAGACGCACGGACTGAAGCACGGACGCACGGAGGTCAAAAACATAAGTCCCCATTTTCGGACTGCGTCCAAGCGGGGATTAAAAAGAGTTTTCATACGCAACACAGTTCAAATTGACTACAAAATAATTGTTATTCCGCATGAAAACGAAATGTATATCCAGTGAATAGAGCAGTGTAAACACAACAAGCAGCCTATCGGCTGAGATAGCTCCGCTGTTAGCAATGCACATTTCAATTAAAGAACTGAAGACATCATTAGAAAATGAACAATATGTATAGTATCAAAGCAATCGGACTTACAGTTTTTAACAAGAAGTCGAAAATATAACTTTCTACCAAAAATGACCAAAATATTCACCAAAATTAGAGAATTAAAGATATCATTACAAAATGAACAAATCTGAGAGGTCCACATGTAGTACCTATATATGTAATATCAAAGCAATTGCACTTGCGGTTTTTAACAAGAAGTCGAAAATATCACTTTTTACCAAAAATGACAAAAATATTCACCCAAATTAGAGAATTGAAGATATCATCACAAAATGAACAAATCTGAGAGAGAGGTCCACATGTAGTACCTATATATGTAATATCTAAGCAATCGGACTATTGGTTTTTTACAAGAAGTCGAAAATATCACTTTTTACCAAAAATGACAAAAATATTCACCAAAATTAAAGAATCAAAGATATCATCACGAAATGAACAAATCTGAGAAAGGTCTACATGTAGTACCTATATATGTAATATCAAAGCAATCGGACTTGCGGTTTTTAACAAGAAGTCGAAAATATCACTTTTTACCAAAAATGACAAAAATATTCACCAAAATTAGAGAATTAAAGATATCATTATGAAATGAACAAATCTGAGAGAGGTCCACATGTAGTACCTATATATGTAATATCAAAGCAATTGGACTTGCGGTTTTCAACAAGAAGTCGAAAATATCACTTTTTACCAAAAATGACAAAAATATTCATCAAAATTAGAGAATTGAAGATACTGTAAAGGGGTTAATTATTCACTGGGTTTTAATTTAGCTTATTTCGCTGACTGGAAAATGCGCTAAATTAAGACCCAGTGAATATGTAGAATTGAGCATAGAACACATTATCTAAATGACAAAACCGTGAATTTAAAACCCACTGAATATGCCTGAAATGGTAAATCAGTGAAATTTAAACCCAGTGAAAATTAGTCATTTTACAGTATTATCATGAAATGAACAAATCTGAGAGAGGTCTACCCAAGGCACATATACACCAAGTATCAAAGCATTCAGGCTTGTAGTTTTCAAGAAGAAGTCGAAAAAGTAAAACATTGACACGGACGACGACGGACAATCATTCATACGATAAGCTCCGCTCGACAAAGTCGACAGCGAAGCTAAAAATTAGCATAACAAAAGATGACCTTTCTGACCTTTTACTGACTGCGTCAACAGGATTTGAAATACAGGGTTGTGTACAGTTTGGATCATTAAAACGACGGATTTTCCACATTTTCATTCCGGTTTTTGTACAATTTGGACGACAATTTGCCCATTGAAAGTACAGTGGTGAAATAAACCAGTTTTGTGACTCATCATACTACTTGTAACTGTGGATATATATTTGACGTTCAGCGCTACTTGGATCGGTACGGTGACCGGCACAGCGACCTCAGTCCCAACATCTGACCTGGATAGATCTTTGGTATAATAACCAAAGTTTTGTGACAGTGTGTCTTACAGGTTCTGTCGTTGTTCTGATGTAAGTTTGTTGGTGTAAAATTGGATTTTTGCATTGTTTTTGTGACACATGATATGCCTTGCCTCAACTACCGTCGAATGAAGGACTTTGCCGGGGCTCTGTACTTGGTTAGTGTACACTCGGCACAAATCTGCAGATTTTGAAATTACCTTCATCATCTCCTGTAATTTATTTACCCATAGTGGAGAATTACAATACCATATATTATCGTCAAATACTAATTTGTCCCATGTTCTTTGGATGACAATAACCCAGGTGCAATTTCACAGCAATTTTGTCAACTAGAATTGAAACGCCGCTATGGGACATCGGTTGTTATTACAGGTGACAATCTTGCAACAGTGCATATTATTAGAAAGGGAAGGGCTTCCAGTCACTGTCACTCATAATTAATAAGCTGATGAGACGGCTAACTTTATTGGCTATGCAACATAACTTTGTCTTCTTAGCCCACCATCTCCCAGGTGCAGATTTTTAACCATGAATAATGTTCCTGTTTCCAGTCCTTTTCTGCCATCAATTTCTGAAAATTTACTTTTACTTTTTATCACTTATTGTTATGAACACTTGCATTTGAGTGCTGCTACTATTGAGTTGTATTTATCTGGTATCAGATTTAAATATATTGAGGCAGGGTTTCCTAACCCTTTAAGGTCATTTCATGGCGGCCCTTTAGATAGATTAAAGTTGCTAATTAAAAGTATTAAGCGTGTGCAAGGAAAACCACGTAGAGCGAGACTTCCATTAACAGCTAACATTGTGGCACAATTGATCAAAGCTTTAAAGAAACGAGTTTTCACCCCCTACACAGATGTTTTATTAGAAGCAGTCATTTTAGTAC